TGACCACTATGTTAAGTTCGTCGACGACCTCCTCGAGGCCGGCATCACCCCGTTCGTTACCCTCTTCCACTGGGATCTTCCCGACGGATTGGACAAGCGCTACGGCGGGCTCTTGAACAAAGAAGAGTTTCCCCTCGATTTTGAGAACTACGCCCGCGTCATGTTCAAGGCACTTCCCAAGGTGAAGCACTGGATCACCTTCAACGAGCCCTTCTGCTCCTGCGTCCTGGGCTACAACACCGGCTTCTTCGCCCCCGGGCACACATCGGACCGCACCAAGTCGGACGTCGGCGACAGCGCGCGCGAGCCCTGGATCGCCGGCCACAACATCCTCCTGGCGCACGGCAGGGCCGTCAAGGCATACCGGGAAGACTTCAAGCCCACCCAAGGCGGTGAGATTGGCATCACGCTCAACGGAGATGCCACTTACCCTTGGGACCCGGAGGACCCGGCGGACGTCGAGGCGTGCGACCGCAAGATCGAGTTCGCCATCAGCTGGTTTGCTGACCCCATCTACTTCGGCCACTACCCAGAGTCGATGCGCAAGCAGCTGGGCGACCGACTCCCCGAGTTCACGCCCGAGGAGGCCGCGCTGGTCAAGGGCTCCAACGACTTCTATGGCATGAACCACTACACAGCCAACTATGTCAAGCACCTGACAGGTACCCCCCCCGACGACGACACCCTGGGCAACCTCGAGCTCTCCTTCTACAACAAGAACGGCGACTGCATCGGCGAGGAGACTCAGTCGTTCTGGCTGCGCCCGAACGCCCAGGGCTTCCGCGACCTACTTAACTGGCTCAGCAAGCGCTACGGGGGCCCCAAGATGTACGTGACCGAGAACGGCACCTCGATCAAGGGCGAGAACGATTTGTCCCTGGAGGAGATCGTCAAGGACGACTTCCGGGTCAAGTATTTCCACGACTACGTCCACGCCATGGCCAAGGCGAGCGAGGAGGATGGCGTCGATGTCCGTGGGTACATGGCTTGGTCGTTGATGGACAACTTCGGGTACGTTTTATAATCCCACACTAGAATCGCCCAAACACGCAGAAGCTAACATTTCCTTGCGTAGTGAGTAACGCTTGCTTGCTCGACCCGCACGGGCGGCCAATCTTTATCAATGGAAAGGAGATCAACAGTTTGCTAACAAGCCATAGAATGGGCCGAAGGATACGAGACCCGGTTTGGAGTGTAAGTCCAGTCCCTGCGCACTTCGGCAAGCGCAACTCAGTGTTGACCTTCCAATAGCACCTACGTCGACTATGTAAATGACCAGAAGCGATACCCCAAGAAATCCGCGAGCTCGATGAAGCCGCTATTCGACAGCCTCATTAAGAAGGAGTAAAGTAAGTTGGTAGCTTACTGACCGCTGGCCGATGCTACCGACCCCAATTGGGTGGGGTTGCCCCTGGTTGGAGAAGGGTAAGAGGAGTTCCAAACAAACGCGGGATGACGGAGCAGTTTTGAACCGATCTAGATGAGTTGATGGGCTAGTTACGAGGTATCACATCTGTACTCTTATAGACCAATGATGATGTCCAATTTTCTACATTTCGCTACGCAATCTATATTCTTTTCTCTTGCAGCGGCGCTGGTCGTCGTGGTCTCCACAGTCGACTTTACGTTTCCAGATGCTGTTTCCGTTGTCCCGGCCCACGGCAGAGCCCGCCTAACTAACACGACGACGACCATTCACCACCAAAGGGGGAGAAAACTCAAGGTACTCCTCAGGCGTCGTTATTAGATTAGCCGATTTGATTGCGTCTGTGACGACGTGTCTCTCGTCTTGGAAGCGTTCCAACCCTGTCTAGGATGTGGTACAGTACCTATATAGCAGCCTTCTAAAAGCGCCAAGAGACCGGGCCAAAGGATTGCAGGCGCCACATCCTCCACAATAAGTGCCAAGGAGCTGGAGGGGACCAAGCTGGAGCTCAGGTGTATCCAAAAGACAGAAACATGTATTGAAAAAAACCCGTTGCTTCCCTCGGCCCGCTGGTACACTACCATACGATAAGGCAAACAAATCTCTTTGCCGAGAAGAAGCAGCCTACCGTCAAGGTCCAGCGGCTTACACTTAGCCGACGTTGGCCGAGGTTGGCCGGTCGGGTTGAGTTCCAAGACATGGCATAATATGTCGTCGAGTCGGAATGTTAAAGGAGCAAGAAAGTGTCGAGATATGTCGAGATACGGCAGTGTATGCATTGGCACTTGCTCTCTGTTGGCACAGCCTTCGGGATAATGCTGACGAGGCGCCTGAAGAGGACGCCGCAAGGGCGGGCGGCATCGGCCGATTGAGTTGTCCGTGGGGTAAGTAACCCGAGGTGTGAGAATGTGGGGTGCCGGCCCAGAACCGGGAGTAAGTTAGGCGGCATGCTACAGAAAGGGCGGCGCTTGGGGGGACCGGGGCTGTGGGGGAGCTAGGATGCTGGAGCTGGACAAGTTTGGGGACCTAAATAGGAGCTCCCCCCCCCCCTTCGAATCTCTCGCCGCCCAAGACTCTCTGGACTGAGACATGTTCCGCCAGCCCGGCTAACAAAGAGAGTTGAGAAAGTCTGCAGTCTGCGTCCTCGATCTCGCCCTTTCTTCGTCCGCCGGATGCCCCTGACCCCCTCGTCGCCTGCTCCGTGTACCGCCAACAACTAGACCCCACAAGATCCGAGCTTGACGCGACTGCCCGGGGAAAGAAGCACAGCTCCGGTCGAACTTCCATTCGTCCGCCATGTCCGGCGCACCCTCGAGGCTTGGCAGCATCCTCGGCCACCTGGTGGGCTCCTCGAAGGCCGAGTTCCAGCACAACCACCACATCCACCAGCTGTCCCCGACCTTCTTCCTCGAGCGGGCCGCGGCTATCGAGCCCAATGCCGAGGCCATCTACCACGTCACCGCCAACGGCAAGATCCTGCGGCGGTCCTACGCCGAATTCGCAGACCGGGCCCGCGGGCTCGCCTACTACCTGATCAAGAAGGGCTACAAGCGCGTCGGCGTGCTCGCCACCAACACGCCCGCCTTCCTCGAGTCGATCTACGGCATCGTGGCCTCCGGCGGAGTCATTGTGCCCGTCAACTACCGCCTGAAGCAGGATGATATTTCTTACATTTTTGACTTCGCCGAGGTTGACGCTATTGTGGTGGATGCCGAGTATGTGGGCCTGCTAGAGGACTACCAAAAGACGCACCCCAAAATCCCCCTGGTAATCGACACAGTGAGTATCTCTCCATCCGGGTGTCTGTGCACCGAGCCCACGCTGACCGGCACGCTCTAGGATACGGACGCCACCGAGGGCCAGCTTAGCGGGCCCTTCGACGAGGCGGTGCTCGAGGGCCTCAAGCACGACCACGAGACAGGCGCGAAGGGATGGGCCGGGCTGAAGTCGCAGTGTGCCAACGAAGACGACGTGATGGCCATCCCTTTCACGTCCGGCACCACGTCACGGCCCAAGGGCGTCATGTACACCCACAGAGGCGCCTATCTCGCGGCCCTCGCCAACGTCATCGAGTCGGGGTTGAATCCCGACACGGGACGGTGCAAGTACCTGTGGACCCTGCCCATGTACGGCGCCCGGCACCACTCCGCAGCCTCTCCCCTTTGCCCTTTGCGAGTGAAAGCTGACCAGACTTTAGGTTCCACGCCATGGGCTGGACGTTCCCCTGGTCGGTGTGCGCCGTTCGGGGGACGCACATCTGCCTGCGCAAGATCGACTACCCGCTGATCTGGAAGATGCTCAAGGAGGAAGGGGTCACGCACTTCAATGCGGCTCCGACCGTCAACACGCTCCTCTGCGCAGCCGCCGAGGCGGAGCCGCTTCCCCAGCCCGTCCGGGTGACGGTTGCCGCCAGTCCGCCCACGGCCCATTTGTTCGAGCAGATGACGAACCTCAACCTGCACCCCGTGCACGTGTACGGCATGACCGAGACGTATGGCCCCATCACCAAGGGCTACCTCCTGCCCGAGTGGGACGCGCTGCCGACGGGCGAGAAGTTTGCCAAGATGGCGCGGCAAGGGCACGGCTTCGTGACGAGCCTCCCGATCCGCATCATCAAGCCCGACCAGCCCGAGGGCGTGCTCATCGACGTGGCCAAGGACGGCAAGGAGATCGGCGAGATTGTCTTCTTCGGCAACATCTGCGCCAAGGGCTACTACAAGGACCCGGAGGCGACGCGCAAGATGTTCGCCGGCGGCGCGCTGCACTCGGGTGACCTAGCGGTCTGGCACCCGGACGGAAGCGCACAGATCCTGGACCGTGCGAAGGACATCATCATCTCAGGTACGTGATCAACTCGCGCGCGATAGCGGCGGCGGCGGCGGCGGCGGTGGTGGCGGCGGCGGCGGCCGAATGGTGCTGACAGACGCCTAGGCGGTGAGAACATCTCATCGGTAGCTCTCGAGAGTCTGCTGGTCGAGCACCCGGACGTCTTGGAGGCCGGCGTGGTGGCGGTGCCCGATTCGCACTGGGGCGAGCGGCCGAAGGCGTACCTGACGGTCAAGGCGGGCCGGTCGCTGGGGCCTCAGGACGTGATCGACTGGGCGAAGCACAAGAGCAACATTAGCAAGTTTATGGTCCCCAGGGAGGTCGAGATCGTAAAGGAGCTTCCCAAGACGAGCACGGGCAAGATCAAGAAGAACGTGCTTCGCGAGTGGGCCAAGACTGGCCGCACAGATCAGTGATGGCTGGTCGGTCCCTTCTCCAAGTTCCTTCTCTAGAGAAAAGGGTGATTGGAGGCGAGTGTTACAGAGCCGTAACGAGGCGGTGGCCACAGACACCAGCCAAGACCATGTATGATATCTTCATCTATCTATTTTCGTAGATACTAAAAGAGGCTCGAATATCCTGCAAGTGCGATTCCTCCATAGCTCGCGTCCAAGTGAACCACGTGTAGGGACTGCGCGGAGTATGCAGCCCATTCTATAAGATACTTAAGTTGCGTGCAAAAGATGCCGAAGTACCCAAGACCGCCTGGAACTTAAGAGCAGTGCGAAAAGCAAAAATCAAAAAATTATGGGACTGCCCGGAGTCGAACCGGGGTTTTCACGGACTTGCCGCGATACGTTTCCACAACGTGATGTACTAACCGCTATACTACAGTCCCTTGTAGTTATGACGTTGGATTTGGGGGATTTATTTTCTATTATAAATCTACAAAATCAGACGCCACAAAGAACCTTGACTGTAGTGGGGTCTGGGTGTGCCGTGGGGCTTTCCTAACGAGGGGCTAAAATCAGTGCGCACCGGAGCCAGAACCGGAGCCAGAGAGCAATCACAAGTGCAACTACAGCTAATTCATGGGGGAACCAAACCCCTCAGCCTCAAAACCTGATCTGCTCACTCACGGCCTTTGTGCTGTGGCAGCCCCCTGGCATTCGGTAGGGGTCATTAAAGAAACGGTTCTTCTCTACCAAGTTTGCACTGCTCGTTGTTGTCTGTTTGGCTCAGGTTTGGGTGATGCAGGGTTAGCTAGCCCAGTCCGCTAAGGTACCTAGGCCTAGGCATGTGTGTCGCGTCTCTGCGCGCTGCGAGTGCGGGGGAGGGGTAAAATTCTTTTTTTTTTCTGTCGCATGCCTCCCGCTTAGAGAACGGCCTGTATATAGGGAGTGACCAACGAACCTCGTGACGGACGCTTTCTAGCTGTCCTGCGGTGAAGCCTTAACCAAGGTGGCGTCTCTTTTTACTGTCATCGGGTCTCCTTTTCCTCTATCTCGAAACCAATTTTTGTAAGAGGCAGGAATTCCCTCCCCTCTTCCCCCGGTACCCCTCCCCCGCGCTCTACTTGTACTTTGTCGCCACCACCATCACGATGCCTCTTCGTATCCTACTCATCGGCAATGGCGGGCGCGAACACGCCCTCGCTTGGAAGCTGAGCAATTCGCCCAAAGTCGAGTCGATCCTCGTCGTGCCTGGCAATGGCGGTACAGCCTTGCTGCCCAAGGTGACCAACGAGAGGTCCGTCTCGGCCAGCGACTTTCCGGGGCTCGTCCAACTCGCGAAGGAGCGGGATGTCAACCTGGTGGTAGCTGGGCCCGAGGCACCGCTCGTTGACGGCGTGGAGGGTCACTTTAAAAAGGCCAAGATCAACTTCTTCGGGCCTTCCCAGGCAGCGGCGCAGATGGAGGGCAGCAAGACCTTCTCCAAGGACTTCATGAAGAGGCACAACATCCCGACCGCTGCCTACGAGAACTTCTCCGACTACGCCAAGGCTAGCGAGTACCTGAAGACGGTCAGCCACAAGGTCGTCCTCAAGGCCACGGGTCTCGCCGCCGGCAAGGGCGTCATCATACCAGAGACTCAGGAGGAAGCCCAGCAGGGTCTCAAGGAGATCATGGTCGACCAGGCCTTTGGCTCTGCCGGCTCCGAGGTTGTTATCGAGGAGTTCCTCGAGGGCGATGAGCTCAGCATCCTGTCCTTCTGCGACGGCAATACCATCAAGTCGCTGCCGCCGGCCCAGGACCACAAGCGCATCGGAGACGGCGACACCGGTCTGAACACGGGCGGTATGGGCTGCTATGCGCCGACAAGGATCGCGACACCGGCCCTGCTTCAGCAGATCCAGAGCGAGGTGCTACAGCGCACCATTGACGGCATGCGCCAGGAGGGATTCCCCATGCGGGGCTGCTTGTTCACCGGCCTCATGATCACCTCCAACGGACCCAAGGTCCTCGAATATAACGTCCGGTTTGGCGACCCGGAGACGCAGACACTCCTCCCTCTCCTCGAGTCCGACCTGGCCGACATCATGTGGGCGTGCTCGACCGACAACCCGCACCTTGACAACACCCCGGTCAAGGTGTCGCCTGACTACAGCACCACTGTCGTAGTGGCGGCCCCCGGTTACCCCAATTCGTACCCTAAGAACATCCCGATGCAGGTCGCCCAGTCGCCGTCGGGAATCAACATCTTTCATGCGGGCACCGAGCTGGCCGATGGTGTCCTCAAGACCTCGGGCGGTCGCGTCATTGCCGCCACGGCCACCGGCAAGTCCCTGAGAGATGCTGTCGACAAGGCGTACCAGGGTGTCAAACTCATCCAGTTCGAGGGCATGTACTTCCGCAAGGATATTGCACATCGGGCCTTCCGTGACGCACCTAGTGGCCAGCCTTCGCTTACCTATGCGGACTCGGGTGTGAGCATCGACGCCGGCGACGAGCTCGTCCAACGCATCAAAGCCGCCGTGGCCACTACCAGTCGGCCAGGCGCTGACGCCATCATCGGCGGCTTCGGCGGTGAAGTCAATTTAGACCAGGCCGGCTATCCCGGCGCCCCGATCGTCGTCGGCGCCATCGACGGCGTGGGTACAAAGCTCATCATCGCCCAGAAGATGAACAAGCACGACACTGTGGGCATCGACTTGGTGGCCATGAATGTCAACGACCTTGTGGTACAGGGCGCCGCCCCGTTCATGTTCCTGGACTACTATGGCTGCAGCAAGCTGAGCGTGGACGTCGCCGCTTCCTTTGTCGAGGGCGTTGCGCAGGGGTGCAAGGAGGCAGGATGCGCCCTGGTCGGTGGCGAGACCGCCGAGATGCCCGATCTCTACTCGGGAGATGACTATGATGCTGCGGGCGCGGCCATCGGCGTCATGCAAGCCAGCCAGCGCCTCCCCAGAAAGGACATCATGGTCGAGGGTGATGTCCTCATCGGTCTTGGCTCGACGGGTGTGCACTCGAACGGCTTCTCTCTCGTCCGCAAGGTCGTGGAGAAGAGCGGCCTCTCGTACACAGACCCAGCCCCTTGGGATGGCTCGGGCGTGACGGTGGGCCAGAGCTTGCTGACGCCCACCAAGATCTACGTCAAGTCCTTGCTGGAAGTGCTCCGAGCGGATGCCAACGGGTCCATCAAGGGCATGGCCCACATCACCGGCGGTGGCCTCACGGAGAACATACCTCGGATGCTCCCGGACCACCTTGCCGCCGAGATCGACGCCGCGAGCTGGGAACGGCCCTCGGTCTTCGGGTGGCTCAGCCAGCTGGTCACCAAGCCCGAGGAGATGGCACGGACCTTCAACAACGGCGTGGGCATGGTCCTAGCCGTCCAGGAGAGCGGAGTGGATACGGTGGTCGCTGGACTGGAGGCCGCTGGCGAGAAGGTGTACAAGATAGGCCACCTCGTGAAGAGGGAGGGCAAAGGCACCGTATACAAGAACCTCGACGCGTGGGCGACGCCCGCGTGAGACGCAGACGGCTGTCCCCCACTCGGACGTGGAACGGGCTGCGTTGGTAAGGGGCGGAACGTGTTTTTGAGGAGTTATGGAAATATAAAATCATCTGGTGTGCATTCGTCTCGGGCGGCCTTGCAAAGTCAATGTTTACGCTATGTCCTGCATTATTAGTCTTGCCCTCGTAAGGGCCTATAGCAATTAGAATTAGACGGGTATATACATATCGAAGAGAAAGCAAATCTATTAGGAATCTATTGGCATAGTGAGGGAATAGCAATACTACCACGTCCCAACAGGCTTATCTACTCGTAGAGACCGAACGCCGTTTGCCCTCCTCTTCTTTTGTAGAGAGCGTGGTACTCCGTACATACCCTGTGAGCATGAGTTTGTTTGGTCGGCATGGGAAGTCTTGCTATCTCTTGGGGACACAGGCACTACTTGACACGGCCACTCATCCCAAAGCCTCTCTCGGTGGCTGGGTACGAGTCAACATTGGAGCCAGCAACCAGCCGAGTATCTACCTCCCTCGTTTTGGCCGCCGAAATTGTTCTCTGAGTGTTGTGGGCGATGGGACACGCTTGGTGGGTCCGACTTTGGAAGGAAATGAAGCTCCAGTCCAGGGCACAGAGAGAGGGTGGGGGACATCTGGCGGTCAAGACAGCGCACGGGCCACTGAACTCGTGTATATATTCTCGGCCGCCCTCCCCTTCTTCCTTCTCTTTTTCTTTTCTCTTTAGCTCTCTTTGTGAGTTTCCCAACCCCCTAACTTGGAGGCAAACGGATGCTAACTATCTTCCCGCAGGCCTTTTGGCTTAGATCAAGTGTAGTATCTGTTCTAACTAGTTTAATCTCTAGTTTTACTCTACGGAGTAAATATGTGATTATTCTAATTTTTGTCCTCGGGGGGACTTTCCTCTGGGCTTGCCTATGACTGTCCCCCACTGTGTCCCTGGTATTACACTGCCTCCAGGCGACGCGAACCTTTTTTCATTGCATGCTCAGGTTAACCCTGGGACGCAGAGAAAATGCAAACCGTAGCCGATTTGTAGACAGTACGCGTAGACTCTAAGAACGAGAATTATTGTGTGACTGTTCTGCTGCGTTTGACCGCCCAACTTTTCCTAAGTGCCCTTGCAGGTGCCCGTTGTGTGGGGAAGCCCTGATATATTGTAGAGACCTGATGGTGGTGAGAGGGAAAGACAAGACTCAAAATTTCGAAAGGTTTCAACATCATAAGCTTGGCTTTCCCAAGCGACCTTCTCAGTGTTCTCTCGTTTTCTGATTGCTAGCTTGTGTACATTTTGCAATACCAAGGCTGGCTGGGCCTCCAAAGTAGATCAGAAGCCTCCAGGTTATCGTCACCTCAGACAAGAACTAGCCCGGAGAATACAACAAAACATCCGTGAACAGGATGCTGCGCTATGAAAATGGTATCTGCGCATTTGACATTCCGCCCGTCGCATCTCAATGCAGTTGTTTCGGCCACTTTGAGCTAGAACGCGGCAGTGACAACGCGCGAGGAAGGGAAGAAAAAGAGGCAAGAGCCTGGGCTTGGCTGCCTTGTCATGTTCCTCCTGTGCCAGTTTGATGCAGCAAATATTATGCAGGCTTGCAGGGCGCAATAAAGTTGTTTGAGCACCATCAGTGAGTCGCTTGCAGTCGCTGCTCTTTGGCTTCGAATGGGGCGTCGTCTGTGCAGTGGTCCCAGTTAGAGGTTCTCGCATCCAGTACAGTGCGATTAGCTTGTGCCTTAGTTCGGCACCACTTAAACGCGCTGGTCCGCGCCACGCGACTTTCCTCCTGCGTCAAGCTCCAAATCCGCAACTCATCGCGCCGGAAAAAAAAAGGTCGGAGAGCTCCAAACCGCATCGCCCGCCAAACGTCAACCATCAGCGCATCGAGGGCACTGGGCTCTCAGAACACCACCACCATGTCTG